GGACGAATTTCATTACCCGGCCATGTTGTGAATTAAATAATTACCCACTAAAACTCGACTCGTTTACATCCGAAAATAGCATTCCCAACGATGTATCTAATAATTAAAATAAACAACCAGGTGCGCCGATTCTAATTATAATAAAGCGGACGTGTTGATTTGTACTATTGGGATATTTGTGTACAAGCGCCCGGACTATACCCGCTCCGCACATCTAAAGAATTCGCTAAGAATGCGTAGAGTGTTTATTAAGCGAAATTAGCTGAACAAATATTATTCAAGGAATGCCTTTGCCTTCTCTCGGTGCCCCCCGAGGGTCCCGGACAAGCACGAGATGAAATATCGAGAGAAATATGTATTGGCTCTCGGGAAGAATTCCGCCCGAGGCCCGTTTTTCGTCCGCGCTTCCTCCTCCTCGCCTCCTTCGCCCGTCCTTTCAGCGAAATTAATAAGTCTCGGACGCGGGGTCGTCCTTTATTAAGTAATCATTCAGCATTAATCAAATTTTAAATAATTTTCCACGAGCTTAGAAGCCGAAAGTTACAGAATCGTACAACCCTTTGAGCAACAATACCCGCATTCACACACCCCACTCACGTTAAGTTTAAGTTATAATTGGCATGTCTGTTATCCCTTCGACTGCACCCGAGCGCCCTTCGCTCCCGGAATGGCTTCGCGACGATCCGGAATCCTTTAAATCCGCCGCGCGCCCCGCGCTCGCTCCAAGAAAATAAATCTTATTCATCTAGGAAAATTACAGTAAAAGCTAATATGTAAGTTGAGTCGAGAGGCGAACGCGACTGTTCCCAACTCCCGGTAATTGAGATTGAAAAGTTGCGCTTTGGAGCGACGAGGAGAAGACGAGCGCACAATGATAATTTCGTTTCGTTTCAGCTGGAATTAGACAAATTGAAATTGCCGTGTACTTCCCCTAATGAACGCGAGTATTTGTTGATGGTGAGCCGGGGTTTTTTTTGGGCGGTTGATGCGCGTAGAAATCGGAAAACGAAGGAAACTCGCCGGGGCCCTTTTCCTACCTGTTGTTTCCTCTGCGGCGAGATCGTTGATGCCGACGTTTTCGAAGGGTAAATGGGGTTTTATCTTTCCGAAAAACGGTCTCGAGGGCTCGCGCGCTTTAATAATCCATCGTTCGACCGTGTTTTTGTTTTCGCGAAATGCGACCGTCTGGAAAATTCGCAGGAGAGAAAGGGGTCGAATTTTCCAGCAATAAAACGGGTGTTTATTGTGTTCATTAAAACTCGCGAATAAAGTAAATAAATCTTAATTAGCAGAATGGATATTAAAGCGAATTTACGATCCTCGAGAATTGTACAGTCAAACTTTTAATTAATAAAAAATTTAGTGCACTCCAAACAACTAATAACAAGTGGAATGATTATTAATTTAACACTATATTAAATTGGGCTATTAACAGCGAATTAACGAAATTCAAATCGCCTTGGGAATCGATTCGTGCGAAGCTAACAGTAATTTATCCGGAAAAAATAATTAGCTCGAAAAACACATACGATAAAAAACCGCGTTGAATGACAGTAACGGCGTTTTAAAATCTGTTTTATTTTTTTCGAATGGGCTCTTTTCTCATGAATATTCCGTTTTTATTGTTGCGCTATCGCCCCACGAATCTGGGCATCCGTGGATTTTCGAGGCGAATGAGAATGGAACGGGGCGTAAACGAATTAAAATTAAAATAAACTCCCGAATAAGGACGAAAGGGCTCGCAAGACGCGGTAAAACGGGATCAATTTTTTAACGGTGTATCGGCCGTCACCTGCTTTTTAATTTCGTCCAATATCTATTACTTATTCAGAAATATTCACTGTCATCGCTATGCGCCCTAATTTTCACCTCATGATGGACTTAAATATTAATAAGACTGTTAAATATTATTAGAATTTTCTCGACCAGAATATTACATTTTTAATTTACTATAAATTATGCATAATGTAGTTTTTAATGCAACATTTTTTTGGGTCATCCACAGCAGAAAATCTCCCTGTTCTAACCCGAAACGGTCCCGAACGAATCACAATAGACCAATTTCGTTTTTCCGATTTTTTTCCACTTACCGTTCGAAATTCCGAAATTGGCCGAGTCGTGCAGTTTGTTTAAGAACATCAAATGACTGACATTAACCGTCATTATCTCGTTAGCGAGACCGCTATTCCGAGCGAAACTCATACGCGAACGGGAATTATTATTAAAGTTCCGAGTTAAATAAGACGTGAATACGATCCGGAGGACACCGGAGAGGCAGATGGTCGCACAAAGGCTACGAAAACACACGATTCCGCGACTTTGTTATTACGCTGTATCGTCTTTTCCACCGGAAGGGGTGAAACTAGAAATCGAGTATTTTATATATAAAAACATTGTATTATTAGTAAGTCGGTAAATTCCATAAAAAAGCCCGTAAAATATTTGAAAAGCGTCGGATAACGTTCGAGATGAAATGAACAAAAGCGACGAGGAGAATTCTTGTTTTTAATCCGAGAATTATATTTTTCCGTATCGTCTTTTTAGTCGCGCCGGTTTTTAATTGTTCCACCGTTACGAATCCGCGGTGTATAAGAGAAAAAAAGCGGCGCAATGTCATGGCGAGAATATTTCACAGTAGAACGGTTCCGAAGGAATCGATTTTTAGTATGAAAAATCGACCAGAATGTCACGCAAAAAATTCTTCTTATAGGTAAACATCGAGATGAAGAGAACTGGGCTGACCGGCTACACGAGACGAGACCATCAATGAAGGAAGAAACTTATTACACGAGCATGCTAGTTTCTACCCATCATACACCGAAGGTAAGCTATTATAATGCTATAAAATTAGATGATACGGTATTTGAATTTGAAATACGACCGGGCTATTAAAATAGAATTTTCGTTAAAATTAGTGCGTCAATTTCGTGGAGCTCCTGCAGCGAGCTGGACGTCATAAATTACGTCCATTTTGATTTGTAAAATATATCTTTTTTTTCTCTTCGCTCTAAGTGATTCGTAAGGAAATTTTAATAACGAGCCGTATTAATTTTTACGTACGCTCTTTTTACGACGGAAAAAGCCGGGTAATTCCCCGCGGAGGAGTTCGGTTTTTCCTCATTGAAATCCGACCGGCGATTTTTTCGGTCCTTCGAACGCAAATTGAATTTTTTTCGCGCAACGATCGCGTGCCGGTCGAAGGAATAATAGAGAACAATGTAGTGAAAATGCGCTTTTCATATCGATGAATAGCCGTACAATCATTTTTGCGCCGAGCAAATATTATTAATTCATCGAAAAGTCGAGGAGTTTCTACAAACCACATAAAAAATTCAGCTTTTTTTAATTTTTTTCCGTTGGACAATCGAGGAAATCTTTACAATTTACCTGTTGTTGGGGTACTTACATGGCAAGAGGCACAAATTGTCGGAAATATCGACGGCGTGGGCCCGTGAATGACGATGTGAATTTTTGTGAGACATCGAAACGCCCAATATTAGTTTTTATTCGAGACCATCGAACGTAATCACGGGCCGAAAGGAGAGAAAAAAAATAACGCTCGATAACATCTAAATCATGTCGCTTTGAATGTAAGAAGAGAAAACTGGTTTGGTATTTTTTTGTGTTATTCGGCCGCTCGTTTGCCGGATTTTCCTTGTTAAGTAATATTGTTGTAAATGATTTTCTATTATTGAATTACACTCGACGTTGTTGTGTGGGTAAAGCCCGTAAATAGTAAACAAAAATAAATCTTTTCTTATCGAGAGCCATCGAATAGAATTAGATGGAGGGCCTTCCATCCCTTATAATACTAATCGTAAATTTTTATCGATTCCGACTCTAAATACGAGGAGTTTCTCACATTCGGAGACCTCGAATCCGCAGGTAGTCTCTCTGCTTGGATGCTGTGACTGATGAGCGCCCTTTGTGCTCGCATTTGCTACGTTGCAATTCCCCATTTTCAACATTATTTAAAGCTAAAGACCTACTACTGAACAAAAATACCATCTACACTGACAAAAAAATTATTTAGCGACACTAACACATTAAATACATACCTAATTTTTATTTATTTATGGTAAAAATCTACTCTAGTCTTCAACTAAAACTCCCATCGAACTTATTTATCTACCTGGAGTCAGAAAATGCAGTGGACCGGGATTTTAAAATATTAAATCGTCTATTGTGCGTTCGATCGGAATAGAACAATGACCAGAACAGCCTAATTCCTGTCCATTATTTTTAATTTTACGGCAATACCCGAATCCGTAATGGTTTTCGAGCAGGTGATTTTTTTTCCAATTACTTGATTGATTTTTTTGGACGTTCATCGGGCTTTTGAAGGTAGAAGTTGCACATCATTGAAGTCTCGATTGGGTTTTTTAATTCGAGTTGAATTGGTAATTAATTAGCTTTTGGAAAATAAAGTGGGTGGTAGTGATCAAAAACATGCGAGTTTTTTTTTTAAAAAGTCCATTTTATTCATCATAAATTAGGGAATATTTCACAATATTTAACAGTCTTCACTTAAATATCAATAAAATCGCGAGTTCCATTAAAAATTATATTAAAATTCTATTAGTTAGATTTGGTTAATTTCTTTAATTGAATTTCATGTAGTTTGAATGCTAAAAAATTGAATTAATAATATAATTAAATAATGGGCTCGATTATGTAATATGTACATACAAAATACTTAGGAATAGTGACTATAAAGCGCTTATTAACATTAATAATTAATTAGAGTTAGTGAGAATGATTTTGCGAAAATAAAATTTAATTTTTATAAATTCTCACCTTTTCTAATATTCTCAATAATTCAATTTTATAACACAATAAGCGATATATGAAGGTATTTATCAAAATAAAATTTTAGCTATACTGGAAGCTTAGAATTTTTGAGCAAATTTTCGCAACAATCGTTCTACCAACGAAAATAATTAACTTTGAATATCGCTAAATTAGAAATAAATATAATTTCGTGAAAAATATTTACAAAATATATATCATATATACAATAAAATACTATATTACATAGTAATCGACAACACTCGAAAATGCTTGAATAGGTAAATAAATTATTTATTCGAATAGAATTTTACGCGAATACGATAAGTAAAAACAGCCTTGTTAAATGCGAGAGCTCCAACCAGTCCATTAATAGATATAACAAATAAATTTTAATCAACAAACCATCAGAGCCCTCCTAAAATCGTCTATATTTACCCTAAACGAAGTAAGTCCTGGATTGAGGCGGAGCGTCCGGTATGGTAGAATACACGTGATGAGGCAATTCATTCCTGCACGGTGGATATTGACTATAAATAGGCGGTCGACCATCAATGGACACGTAACTGTGATTCAACTGGTCCGACCCGTAATGCTGGCTGCTCGAGCTCGACCCGGCCTCGTCCTCGGTACTCCTGGCGCTCTCGCCCGACACGTACGTGCTCTGCGTCGGCGTCGGCGTCGAGACGACGGCGTGCACGCCCGGCATCGGCTGGTACTTGTACCACGAATCGTGCACCGACGGCGCCGGCGTGTACCGCGCCGGCGGCTTGCACTTGATCTCCGGCGGCTTCTTGCCCCTTCGGCCCGTCGAGTTGCCGGTCACGTCGGGCATGGCGTACCGCAGCTTCTCCCAGAACCGCCGCTCGCCCCAGCGGGCGACGGCGCACGCCCTCAGCAGCGCCCGCAGCTCCGGGTCCATGGGCTCGAGGGGATCGCCGCGCAGGACGCAGATCAGCTTCTGGCGGTAGGTGGTCTGCAGGGCGGCTTGCAGCGCTGCCCGGAATTCCGGTCGCGACCATTCGTTGTGGATGAGCAGCGGCGAGACGACGAAGACGATGCGCTTGGAGGCGTCCGCTGCGCCCACCATGGCGTCCGCCAAATAGGAGGCTCCGCCGACTAAGTGAAGGTCTCTGGAGGAAAAGGTTGTTTTTCGTTAGATAGGTTGTATACGCAGGGTCTAATTGTATTGTGTTCAATGGCAGATAAATTATAGGTTGTTAAGGGGCAAGTTGTTTCGAATGATTTAATTGTTTCAACAAGGTTAACTAACCCTAATAAATGTTAGGTACTTCATAAAAAAAGATATTTAGATGGTTAGATAGAATAATGAATAGAATTGGGGTCTAAATTAATTATTTTTATTACCAAAAATAAAGTATCTCAATATCATTTTATAATAATTGCCCTATTCTGTAAACTGTTTATATACCAATAGCCTTGATTATAGTATATATTTATAAAGAATCGTAAACGATTGCCCTGAAGGCTTTCAAAAGGAAATTAAATAAATGAATTATTAAAGTTAAATGGAGGTATAAAAATAACAGTACAGACAATCTTAGTACCACTCAACTTTCACCTATACGTGAATTACAGTTATATTATCCTTGCCATTTACGAATGTTCCCATTATAAAGCGACAATAATAAAACAACATCTTACCTATAGTGTAGACACATTGTGTGTCCCAATTCCTCGAGGGAAGCGGCCACCCCGCTGACCAGATCTTCGTCGGTTTGACTGTACACCATGTAACAATCGTAGAGTTTATCGCGATCGTCCAAGCCGTTATCGACGCTGGTGTCTTGGAAAATCCGGACGCCGTACTTGGAGTGCGCCCACAGCCTCACCTCCTGCCGGAACACGAACACGATGGCGACCAGCAAACAGACCACGATGATGGCGACCAACGTGGCCGCCAAAAGGGGCACGTAGCTGCCGCCGCCGAAGAGCTGGTGATTGTTGACGACGTCGCGTTGTATGACGGACGTCGCGATGGCGTTGTCCATGTCCTCGCAGCGGTGCATGACGTCGGCGACGGTCGCCGCCGAGGCGTCGGAGCACAGCATTTTGGCGGGATCGCCGCCCGTCTCGCGAATCCACGCCACCAGCCGGTTGAGCGTCGTGCAATCGCAGGACCACCTGTTGCCGTCGACGGTAACACGCGGCCGGTCGGCGGCGGGCGAATCGTCGCGTAGCTCCCACGGGACGAAATCGACGATTTTGTTCTCGTCCAATTTCAGCACGGCGAGTTTGTGCAGATTCCTGAACGTATTGTTGCCGACGTAGCCGATATCGTTGTGGTCCAAATACAGTTCGTTGATGTTTTCCAATTGATCGAATTCGAAGCCGCGCAACTCCTCCAGCTTGTTGTTCTCCATGTGGAGGATTTTCAAGGAATTCGCGCCGTTGAACGTTCTATTGTGCAGCGCCTTGACGTTGCTGTTGTTCAAATATAAAACCTCCAATTTTTTCTTGCCGATGAAAACGTGACTGCCTAAGTCGCCGAGGTCGTTACCGTCCAGGTAGATCTCAGTGGCGTCCATCGGGATTTTCTCCGGCACCGTTTCGTAGCCGGCGTTGCTGCAGTCTACTACGTTCGACGTCCAAGTGCCGTCGTGGTAGCACGTACACCGGTCCGGACAGGTCATTTCGCAATCGCAAGCGTCGAAGTCGCAACAGTGGCACACGGGAAAGCAGTGCGCCTCGTAGGGACACAAAAAATCCGATTGTTTCAAATTGAGCAGCGGTTGCGGCGGGGAGCCTCTGTTGTGCGCCAATTCGCATGTAACGGAATCCAAGTCGAGCACTTGAGGGTAGTGTCTTAGGTTGCTCAGGTGGTTTATTCTTAACAGCCAGTCCATTTTGCAGTCGCAATAAAACGGGTTGTCGCCTATGTAGAATTGCGGTAAATCTTTATTATCGGCTACAGGGCTCAAATTTAAAGCCGCCAAATCCAAGAAACGCAGTTCGTTTCCGTACAACACGACCTTCTCTAAGTTGTTTTTGTTGTTGAAAGTATTGACGTGCACTTTACTGATCTTATTGTTATTCAGATATAACGTTTCTACGCTGTTCGGAACGGAATTCTCCTTGATCTCCGTTATCAAATTGTAACTGGCATCTAGCATTTTAATTTTCAAATTGTTTCTAACGTCGTAGTAATTAGCCAACTCGGGCACTTGATTATCGTGCATATCTAACCATTCCAAACTCACAGGTAGGTGACTGAAATCGAACCACAGCAGATTATTAGACGAAACGTTCAACCATATCAAAGTCTTTAAATTCGTAAACACACCGCTGATGTCCGTTAGCTCGTTGGCGTCTAATCTTACGGCTTTTAAAGTGGGATTGCTGGAAAACGCGCTTTGTTCAACGTACTTGATTTTATTCGAGGCTAGATTCAACACTTGAAGCGACGGCAGCGTGGAAAATGCATCTCTAGATATATTTACGATGTGATTATCTACCAGTCTTAAACCGAATAACAACTCCAAACCCTCGAACGACGAATTGGCGACGGATTTTATGTGGTTTTTACCCAAATCGAGGGTTTTGAGGAACCGTAATTGACCGATACCGGCGGGAATTGTGCCCAACAAATTCCCGTTCAATCCCAGATCTTGTAAATTCGTAACGTTCTCGAAAGCTTTGGGATGTATGTACTCCAATTCATTCGAATCTAGTAATAATTGATTTAAAGCGTACATTCCGGAGAAATGATAAGATTCGATGCGCACCAAATTATTGTAAGATAGAATTAACGCGTGCAAATTTTTCAACTCCATAAAAGCACCTTCTGCTATCGAATTTATCGCGTTGTGCTCCAAATTCAATATCTGCAACGTGTACAAGTCTTTAAATAACGTACCGTCGATTTTGGTCAGTTGATTATTGGCCAAATTCAGTATCACTAAACGCACTAAACCAGCAAAAGTGTCTCTTTTAACCCATTGACTGTTCAATTCGTTGTAAGATAAATCTAACACTTGCAATTGATCTAAACCTTCTAACAATCCAGGAGCTAGCACACTCAAGGAATTGTTGTGCAAATAAATATGCTTTAATTCTCTCGATGATTGGAATAATTCCGGAGGCAGAGCGACTAGAAAGTTACTGGATAAATTTAGAGATGTTAGAGAAGTTAAACCGACTAAAGCTCTATCGCCTAACGTAGAAATCGCGTTGTTCTCTAAGTGCAGCTCTTCCAAAGACCTCAGTGCCGAAAACCCGTTATCGGTTAGAGTTATAATTTCGTTATGAGACAAATCTAGTAATTCTAAACTGCTTACGCAAGCTCTTCCGGGCGCCAACGGGCCGTTACCCCAATCGGAGAATCCCATAGCGGACGTGTTCTGTAACTTATTCCTCGTCAAATTCAAGTTCGTCAAACTGTACAACGGACAGAACAACTCCTCCGGCGTGCTCCAGATATTGTTGTCGGCCAAATTCAATCGCCTCAAGTCGCTCAATCCCCTGAAACTGTCGCCGTGCAATTCCAAATTCATCGCCGACCACTCCGAATTGCGCGACCTCAACGACAGCTTCTTCAGCCGGCGGAGTTGCGCGAACGCGCCGGCCGGCACGTCGCGTATCTTGCAATTCTCCACGCTCAGCTCCTCCAGGTGCTTCAGCGAGCCGAGGAAGCCGCCGCGGCGGGCCGCCTCCAGCGAGCTCTCGAAGAACAGCACGTCGTTGCACTCCAACAGCAAGTCCGTGATGCGTTCGCTGTCGCTCTGCGACAGGTTTCTCACCAGCGATTCGACGCCCTCGATGGTGCGGATTTGACAATGGAGCACCGGGCGCTCGTCGTCGGCGTCGGCACGCTCCATACGCCACTGGCAGCCGCGCGGCGTCTGATCGGCGCCGCCGGTGCTCCTGCTGTACGCCGACGCCACCAGAACGCACCAAACCACTAGCACAAACATTTTTATTTGAAAGTGTTTTTTTTTTTGTATCGTTAGAACATCATTCGTTATTGCGGTAGAGGATCACTACTGTACACGAGACGACGCGACCAGCTCTGCGGACGTTCCCTGACGGACTGACGGTTAGGTTAGGATGTTTTGGTAACTGTTGCGTACGGTCTGGGTAGGGAATAGGCGCCGCCTATTTCTCTCCCCACCGACGCTCTTTTCGTCGGATAGCGACGATGTGAATGGGAGATTGTCACGTGCGGTTTGGATAATTTACAATGTGTAATTTGCGAACTAGGCGCCTACCCTGCCCCACTCTTTGCCTTATCCTGCATATTGTAGCCGGGTATTATTTTGTTTGTTAGTTGTTTAGTTTTGCAATGCAATGGCATATCTGCGATCTGCTCTGTTGCGATATGGCTACTTAGCTGTTAAACTGGAATGAACGATGGAACTAGTTCGTGTTTTATAGATGCAGAGGGATATTAGAAATGGTTGAATGATAGAAATTGGGAAATCACACTTATGCAAGTAGATTGTTTTATTAAGGAAAACAATGATGGTACGAAAAACTCAGGAAGTTTCTTAAGAAATTATAAAGAAGTAATCAATATTTGCTTAATTAAATCATTCAAATTCCCAAAGTTTCTAAATATTAAAGGTTATGTTTTATATCCGATACTCTTCATCATCTCTGGCAATCTTCACCCTCACATTAATTATGTTTAAAATCCCTCTATTCCCCTCTATAAAGAAATATTTTTATCAAGACTTATAGGCTTTATTATGTACTTTAATTAATTAAAATTCGAATATAAATAATGAAAGCATATATTTAAAGCACTATAGTAATTACATTTTTATGAACCTATTGTGAATTACATAATGCAAATATTTAGAACACCTACACATATTTTCTCCTAACGAGTTACCTACCGGTTCATTTTCATTTATATTTATGACTTTATTTGTTTATAAGTGGTTGTAAACACCCATTTGCCGGTTAAATTATTATAGGGAGCGGATTATTATTATTTTCAAAATTTGTTTATCAATAATAAATATATTCTCTATCAACATTAATTAAACCACTTCGATTCCATTTTTGCAAAAAAATCAAATATAGTTGATTTCTAACAAATATTTAATAACAATCACAACTACCTCAATCAATTAATTAGTGTTTTAGTCGACAAAATTTATTTCTTTAGCCTAAAATTTTTAATCTTGCGCCATCTATTGCTTAAAATTTAACTATAACTCGGTCTTTAAGACGATTTCTTTAGCAGAATACAGCTCCATCTGAATAGGAATGGAGAGAAATTTAAAACATATTATCAGGACCCTCTTTCTGTATTCCTGGTAGTTTATACTCATAGGTACAGATGGCGCAACCTATCACAACCTCCATCTTCTTTTTGAACTCGGATTCATTTACAATCAATTAATTATTAAATCTATTGATTTCGTGTATTAGAATCTAGTTAAGTATTTGTTTTAACGATCATTTATAATTCAATAAAAGTGTATTAATGATATAGATATTGATATATTTGCAATACAAACTTTGCTTTATTTTACAACGTTTGCAATATTTTACAATTCGTAAAGTAAATTTAAATAAAATGTACAATTTGCATCACTCCGTACACAATCATGCGAATAATTTTATTATCTATTTATACATTCAATATTTAAATGGTCGTTTTTAAAAATATTTCTGGCGCGGAAAAAAGGCAAATTGGTTACTACGAATATCGATAAAAATTTTTCATGCGTATACGTTCATCGAAGGATCGCAAAATGAAATTCGCTGTTGGTGCGTATTAAAGCGAACGAATAAATAAATAAGCAAAAATGAACAAAAAACCTCCGAAAATCACGTAAACAAAAATCGTTCCATATAAACGATAATTAATTCGACATTCGACGGCCCAATTTCGATTTCACGCCATCGCTCACAATAAGCCCTTATTAACCCCTACACATTTTCCGAACATCCCAAAACAACAACGCTTTCCGCCGGCCCGCCATCGAAAACTTGTCTATTAGCCTTCTAAGCCCGTCCGGGAAACTATCCGCAGCGACGATCAGACCGCGTTAGATCGTGTTCGACGCGTTTTGACGGCCTAAGCCCGCTACCCGACGCCCCGCCGGGTATTACCAAAACCCACCCTGCTCAATTTTCGCTCGCGAAGCCGCTCCAAATGCTCCGAGATCGACGAGAACACCAGTGGCGAAGAGGCGACTATTTAGAGCTTAATTAAAACGAAATTTCTTCGAGCTGACTCTTAAACAAGTAGTTTGCGAGGATATATTGAGCTGTGTGGAATTTTAGTTGGTGGTTGTTCGGCGGGGCGCAGATTTGAATCGTGCTTTCAGAAACACCGGCGGGTTTAAACTTGACCGTTGAGTTATTAAATTGGGTTAATGGACTTTGCGGGGTGTGATTTAGTAAGATATCGTCGGATAGAGCCCGACGGGCATGAGAGTTGTAGTTGCTTTGGTGTCGGGCATCTTTGCGGCCGATGGGATTTGATGAAGGTACATTATCTACGCCTAAATATCTCTTACACCTCGCAGCCCGGAATCGAACGGCGGATTTTTGGAATTTAATCGAAACACTGTGCGAAACTTCGATAATTAAATTTTCCACTTTAGCCGGATTTCCTCTAATTTACAACGATTCCGCGCAATTCCGCGTATATACGAAACGTAAAACCATTAACTCTAACGCAATCTTCATAACCATCACGGAGTATCGAGTCGACGGCTCCGCTGCAACTATACAACCCCGCAAGTTCCCGGCAACTCATCGAATCTCGGCGAAAATGAAACTTCTCCTTCCCGCCGTTCCCTTAATAAACATCAACTTCCGAGTTTATGCGTTTACATTTGTAGCATGATTAAATTTCAATACACTATTAATTTTAATTGAAAGTTTAGTTATGTTAAAATAACTTTCATGGAGATCTTGTTCCACATAAATGTGCATTTGTAAGATAGTTGGAATTGGATAACTTTAGGTACTCTACAAAGCTCGTCAATTTAAGTACTAGCTTATCCAAGGACCTTTAAAGATCCTATAAGAACTTGCGTGAACCTTAAATAAAATCCTTCTATTATGGTCTAGTTCAGGTCGAGATAAAGAAGTCCTGCGAATGATTTTCTATTTCCTGGTTTACCTAACTTCATGTTAATAATGTTTCATAAAGCATTTCAATTAAAAGAAACATCTTGTTCTAGATAATTCTAAATGAATGGAGGGTTCTAAATGGTTCTGAAGCGTACTAAATGGTTTTAGATAGTTCTAAATGATTCAAATACCTCTAAATATCCTAAGAATCATATAATCAGCCAAGTGTAGCTCTAACGTTCGTAGAATCAATCCTTTCTAGCCTGTTTCCTGTCGAGGTAAAGGAATCCTGCGAGAGAGGTTACCTAACTTCATATAGATCAAGTTTCACGAAGAGAATTCCTGCGAAATTGGATATTTGAAACATTTCAATTGAAGAATTAGCACAGCAAAGGATCTCCAAATATCCAAAGTGTAGGTCTAACGTTCGTAGAATCAATCCTTTCTAACCTGCTCCCTGTCGAGGTAAAGGAGTCCTGCGGGCCATTTTCGTACCTTTCGACCGCAGTTTAATCGCCATCTGGCGGCGACGGTCGTTCTGATGTTTGTTTCCGAGTTTAATTTTCCAGACGGGAGCCCGCGAGTTAACAGTCGGATACTCCGCCGGCCCACCCGCTAAGCTTCCCGCTCGAATTGCTAAAGTAAATTTATTATAGTTGTAAAGTTGGATGCGACTTACAAGTTTCGCGACGTCGGGAGAGAAGAAGGATCTGGTTGCGGCGAGAAATATGAAAATCTCAACGGAATCTGAATGTTTGGAGTATTTTCTTTTTGTGCGAGTGTATATTCTCGCTAATTTCGAGCGAGATATTTTTATTATCCGCTTTGTAATGTATAATGGTTTTAGTTATATTAGCGTTACACGTTGAAACAAGCGTTGATTTCGCGTAGTTTGAGGTAATGTTAGTTTACGCTCTCTGCCCGTTTCCAGTATTAAAACTTTTTACCGCGACGACGCAGTTTTCATGAATTATTCCGAGCTGCTTTAAAACTTTAACACCGTGTATTTTAAATTACCTAAAACCGACATAAATCAGTCCGGCATAAACGAAGCGAAAATTAGCAAACAAAAAAAAAGTCCGGCGGACTCAAGTCGGGCGGTCGCGCGAGCGCGGGGATGTAAAAAATTCATTTAGCGCGGAAAATTCAATCGATCAAAGCTTTTTTCGACGAATTTCGAGGAATTAGAGTCGCTGATTGATGGGTATAAACTTACTCGCAGCCATCGGGGAACGGTTAATTTCGCCATTTTGGCGGGTCTTACGCGAAATTTGCATTACGAGGAGCGGGCGATTTTTTAGGCGCTTGTTTCGCCGAGTCGAGTACCTGCAAAGAGGTCGTTTTTCCGTCGTCTAGACGAGTAATAGAATTCGTTCGTCCATCAATATTCGAATTTCAGACACGAGTAAAGCCGATGGGGATTAGAATATCGAGCGGTGTGTTTTTTTCGTCGATCGCTCTGCGTTCAACATAATGATTGGATTACTGAAAATGCGCGGGACAAAAAATTATATGGAACGCTATAAAAATATGCCTCGAAATTTCATTACAGGCCGTAACGGAATTTTATTTAGCGATTACCTCCCGTAAATCGCCATTTAATTTCGATATACACTCTTGTTTGTCGGTGGAATCTCTGCAACATTGATTGAAAATTCGACAAATAGCGTGTTTATAGTTTCAACCCGTCACTTTATTGCGTCTACTGCGATTTATTTTACGATCCATTCGAAGGCTCCGCTGACAGGAAAATAGCCACTGTAATTTTCAGGGCAGGACGAGGTCCTGTTGCGCAAAATTTCTAATCAATCGAGCGTAATAGCTCGACAATTTAGATTTTAAAATAACACGCTTTATAGTTGATGAGAAAAAAATGTAATTTCGAGAATCTCGTTCGTTGGAACATCGAGATTAAAAGCTCCGAATGGTGTATAAAGCAAAGAGCTTCTTTGGGTTTAATGCGAAAATTTAGCCGAGGCGAGAAGTTGCATAGAAGAATTCGAAATTTCTCGCAGATAGCGAAAAGCTTTATCCGGCGACGTAAGATAAATATGATCGCGGGAAATGAGTTTCCGATATCGACGGTAGCGTAGCGAAAAATCCAAATTCGGAATTTTCCGAACGCGGGGCGAAATTAACTGCAGCGAAAATCGCGGAAAAAAGAGCCGAGGAAAAATGTATACGAAAGACAATCAGTGCGCGCCGGCTTTTCTCAGTTATCCGCGAACTGCAATTTCCATAAGAGAGAAATTGGAAACGGCAATTTGCCCTTTTACGAGCTCGTCGCTGGAGATATGCAGGAAAGTGCATTTCGCCTTCGCTCCCGACGAAAAACATTTCCGTTACCCCTTTTTTTTTCCTTGCCAATCGAGCTAATGGCGGATCAATCAAATTCTCGCGATTATTCGAGAGGTGACCGACGTACCGGATCGGACAATCGCGTTTCACGCGTATAATAAACTAATGACCGAAAAGCCAATAAATAGGGGAGCGAAAAAGGAGGAAAAGTAACCGAAAAATCAACAAAACAAACGGCGCATTAATGGCGCCCGCTCCGCCGGAAAAAAAATACCGAATCGAACACAGATAATAATCGCATTAGGGACACATGATGAATCGCCGAAAAAAAAGTCTCATCGGCGAAACGATTCGATATCGTAATTTTTCCGGGGATAAAAAAGTTCATCAGCGATACCGATAAATTGTTACAGCTCGCATTATTAAGAGTCGATTAGGAAATTATTAATCGCCGTACGATTCGGTTTCTGTTATTCCTCCATTGATTAGAACTTGTTCTAGCGCCGGATTTACGGCGATGCGAGCCGGTAAAATGAAACTGCGTTTTCCTGAATTACGGCTATATATTCCCGGAAAAGTGTGTCGCTATAACGTTCCTTAAGTGGTAACCTCTGCCTTGTCTTCTCGCACTCGAAATGAGTTTTCGCAAAGTCTTTTGAATTGCGACATTGTTTTATGAGGTGACTTGATATCTGAGTTAAGCACGCGGACTTAGCGCACAGTAGAGGTTTTAAAACAATTTTTTTTGCATAATTTTACAAGTGGCTCTTCTATTGTTGCGCTTAAAACAGAGTAATTAGAGCAAATGCAGCGAGATTTATCTAGTGCAGGTTTGAAATTGAAATATTGTGCGGCGGGTTGCGCGTTGTGAATTTTCCTCCTAGGCCGGGCCTGCGCGTCGTTCTATTATAATTCCGCGGAATGAGAAAAAGGAATTTCGAAGTGCATTAGACGGAAGTAATTTCGTCGCGAGTATATTTTATTGTTACACGTTTTAGCGACGATCGTTTTTCAAATGACGACTTTCTTTAGTTATTTTTGCCGAGCGCAAAAGTTTAATGCCGAAAGGGAATAGCGGATTACCGGGATAACTAAAAACCCTCTATATTTCACACCGAAATTCGACTTTTAATGTAGGTTACAATTACCGAAACTTTCGTCGGAATTGTTGCCGATTCCGGTCCTGTTTTCCTGTTACATTTCCCTCGATTTATATTCATTATACGAATTGCAACCTCGGGGACGACTTCTTCAAGGACTAAATAAAAGATGTCAGGACTAATGTATGCGCGAGAATTAATCATACAGCGAGACATGTTCGGGGGCTCGATCCCGCGGGCGCGCAATTACACTCTTTGAAGTTTCGCGTCGAAATATCCAAAGGGATTTACTCCATTTTTCTCATTACATTTACCCGTTTATCGGGTTTCTCTAACAACAAACAAATATTAATAATTTTACGCCGAATAACCGAAGTAGCCGACGCCCCGATACACCCAAGAAGTGAAGTAAGGTTATTTTATTAATTAGCATTCTAGCTTGATTTACTTCCATACGCTACACACTCGATTTCCCCCGTCGCGCATCGCCCGGGGGGCGCCGGAGACGCGCTCGCCCCCCCGTTTTACCCCGTTTACCCCATCCCTCAGGGCGGTATATCATTCAATGTTAAACGCCGAGCCGCTCGCTTTTCTAGTTTCGACCCCAAGGAGTTCTTCTTCTTATTATTTCCTTCGGAAATGCACGGATGCTCCGCTAATTTTCCTGTTTCTGCTGATACTCCGTCGCGCCCGAGAACGTCTCTAACGATTTTTATTTTATTCCTTGAAAAAGATTTATTTTTTAAAAAGAATCCCGACGCACAGCGAGGAGGCGGTTTTTTTTCAGAAAGACTCGACTGCAAAAGTCCCATTTAATTGGTATGAATTTTACATTAACCGGATGGGATTCGTTAAAATTGGTATTTCGAAATAATTGAAGAGGAAATGGCTCGATAGGGCTTCGTAGCAGCTTTATGCAAGCTTTATGGAGCTCTGTGGACGCTTGATGGAGCTATATTTTAGCTTTAGGAAGCTTAAGGGAGCTTTAGGGAACTTTAGGAAGCTTTATGGAGCTGCAGCAAGCTTTATGAAGCTTTAGGAAGCCGTAGAAAGCTTTAGGAAGCTGTAAGAAGCTCTATATAAAGCGTTAGAAACCTTTATATAGTTTTAGGATGCTTTAGTAAGCTTTAGGAAGCTTCAGGAAGCAATAAGGAGCCCTATAAAACTACCCAATATAATTAATTCTTGTTGTTTTAAAGTACAAAGTATCACTTTTAAAATAATTTTGGGTCTATATCTTTCAATCTACCAACGTTAACTGCATCGCATTTTTCGATGCAAACTTTCTCCAATACTTTATCTTTGGTTTCGTGGTCCAAAATAATCTTCAAGTCGCATTGGACGTCGTATTCGGACGGGTTCTGTTTGGACATCGAGTACCTGTTCAGTATCATGTCGAAGAAGATGCTGGGCGTGATCCATTTGAGGAAGTAAGGGTCGTGTTGGCTGATGTCTTGGAGCGATAGGAACGAGTCGTTGGCGATTTTGATTTTGATCTTGGTCAAGTCGATGTATTTTTTGACGTCGTCTAGGCAGGAGAATATCTTCAAGTTCTCCGGCGGCTTGTTGAAGTACTGGTAGGGCACGTCGGTTTTGACCAGGAATTTCTTGCAGACGCCGTGGGATTTCATGAACGAGATGACGTCGAATATGAACTTCTTGCCGTTGTCGTCGTTCTTTTGCAGGTACACCAGCAGCGGTATCTTGCCGGCCTTCCAGAACACCCTGTAGATTTTCGCGAGGGGTATCTCCGAGTCCAGGTCGTCGATCTCTTCGAAGAAGTAGGATTTGATGGTGGTTTGCTTGTTGAGCACTTCTTTGGTGATGGTGACCGTTTTGGTGATCGAGTCGAATTTTACCTCGAGCAGTTGTTCGATCATCTGATTGATGGGCTCGCAGAGCTTCGTCAACAGCAGAGGTTCCGTTTTGGCCACCATCACATCTACTTTTTCCATGACGCGGTTCAGCTGGTCGAAGTTGTCGCTTTTGAAGTTGACTATCTTCGGCTGGATGACGTACTGCTCGAGCAGCAGCTCGCCCAGCTTCAAGATGGCGTCGCTTTTGGTGAGCAGATAGTTGCCGCCCAGGAGGCCCTTCGCCCAGTTTTCTATGTAGCTTCCGAAGGGTTTGTGGACGCTGGGGAGATGGGGGTAGTTGCTGAAGTGCTTCTCCAGCAAATCGTCCAAATCGTCGGGGTATTGGTTCGTGCAGATGAATAATTTCGGTAGTTTCTTTTCGAGTTTCTTATGCCTGCCGTCTTCGGATTCGCTGGAGCTCGGTTCGTGTTTTTTGGTTACCAAATATACGTTTGCTGCGTCGGGTGAAACATTTATTATTTCGTTTTTCCTGCTCTGTACAATGTTCAGCTTTATCATTGATTTATCCTGCGATTTGTAGTAATAATCGACTTTGTCTTGGTAATTCGAAGCTAAATTGCACGTGGTGAATACGACGAATTTAATATCGTCGAAGTGATTCAATTTGTTTAATTTATTGGCGCTTTTGATTTGCTTGTCGATGATGATCTTGGCATCGCTGAAGCGCTCTATAGTTTTCGATATTGTTAATATTTGCTTGCATCTTATAGCATAGTAACTGTTCGATTTGTCCTTTTGTTCAATGTACACTACTAGATCGCCAAAGGAGTGATATTGGTTGTCGTTTACTGATAATTTAAAATCTATTACGTTTGGATCCAATGCTAGTTTTAAACTCAAGAATGCTGCTACTGTGTAAACGTAGGCTTCTATCTGCTCGAATGCTTTGGAATCGGGGCGAATTTTGTACTTTATTCTGCGTAGTTTTTGGTCTGCAATCGATGAAGATAACAAAGCTGGATCAACGGTAATCAATTCTTTTGAAGAATTGTCTAAAAAATATTTATGTTCGAATATTCTCACATTGTGCTAGGTATTTAGACTTACCAATGGAATTTTCCCATAAAAGGTACGTTCGGAATTTCGTTAAATTTGTGTTACCACCTTCATGGATCGGCTTGGATTTAGCTAAAAGTAATTCTAAAAGTCCAAAACAAGACAATATTTAAATTTGTAGTAATACTAATATAATCTTCACTTACTCTTTCTGCGTTCGCGTTTCTTGTGCGTTCCACTAGCTATGTGTCTATTAAAAAACTTGTTGTCTGTTAATTCCACATTGCAAGTTTCGCAATGAAAATGCTTTTTATTCTCTGAAAAAATTATCAACGCTTAGTTACTGCTAATTAAAATACGCCCATAACTCACCTGTTAATTCCTTGGTGGACCCTCCGAGTTTGCTTATGTGATATTTACTGTTAACGTGACTGTTTGCGTACGCTTTCGGATATTTAACGTTGCAAATTTCGCAAAATATCCTGTCGGGGTCATCTTCAACAGCTGAAAATTAATTAACACGAGTTTGATGAAAATTTGCAAAGTTTTGGTGTTTATTGTGTCACCGCTAGATTAGCGAGAATTTGCTCTACATTATTTACCTATAATTTTATCAATAAAGATTGTGATGCATTCAATGTACCTAATAAACAAAATACTTGATAAAAGATTATATTTGATGTTTTTTCTGATTATTATGTAGAATTAAGCAATTTAAATTACATAGATATGTGTTATTACTTTCATAATGATATGTAGTAAGAAAACTAGTTTACCTTCATCTGGAGTTCCCATCGTAATTCAAACTGAACACGATCAGACGAAATACGAATAAAACCAGCGAATAAACTAACCTTCCATCAACCACAACAACTATTTATACATAATAATCTGTCGTTTCCCTATCTTATCTCCATAACATTTTCAAATCTACTTGGACGTGGCATTGATAGATCTCTAGCGAATAATACCTAGTAGAATGAAATTAACGTTAATTAAATGTGCACTAATTTATCGACAACGCGTAAAATATAATTTACTAATAACATATTTATTTATTGTTTATTTAATCGTGTGATATACGAGGTGTTTAAAATGTAAGTATACAATATCTTAAAAGATTTAAAGATTTCCATTGTTCCAGTGGTAGATAAAATATTGTTATATACACAGATTGTAAGATAATTTTTACGAGTATATGTTATGAATATTTTAGAAGGCGGATTTATAATGGATAATGCGCTGGAATTGGCCGAAACTGGCGAGGCAGTCTCGTTAATCAACAACAACAATCAAGCGAATTCATTGAGCGACTCCCATGACGTATCCATCTCTAACCAATTGCTCAATGCGTTGGTCACGAACAACGCGGAACGCGTGAAGGACACCATCAGAAAATTCAAAGGGGATTTGAGGCATCTCAAAATCGAATCCGCATCGGGCGGCAGGAGTTTCCACGGATACCTGTGGGTCTTCGTGTGCATTAGCGACTCCGTAGAAGCGAGTACTTTAGGTGAATATCCTCGTTGGTGAATAATTCAGAGCGATTGAGTTTTGGTTTTCCTCCCGCAGCGGTTTTTTTCGCCGAAATGAAGGCGACCAAGCGCAAGTCCATGAAATGCTTTGACGAGAGCTGGTTCGGCTGGGAGCCAATACATTACGTGGCCAGGACGGCTAATAGGGCAAAATTAGCCGCTTTATTGGAACTACTCGAAGGCGACGTGAATTCTTTAACGTACTTTTCGGAGAACGCTTTACACGTGCTACTGCAGTACGAAAAATCCGCAGTACCATTCGGTGTACTGCTTAGCAACGGCAAGGTTTCCACGCAGGCAGCTATAATAGGTATCGAGAAAGACGAGATAAGAGAATGCGCGAAGATGCTAATTAAGCACGGTAATTTATCAATATTCATTACTCCTCATCGATCAATAATCGATTCATACTCGTAGGTATCGACGTGAACCAGACGAATTTCTGGAACGAAACGCCTATTTGCCTAGCAATTCGATTCAGATACATAAAACTAATCAAGCTATTGCTAACCGTGCATTGCATCGATTTGGACAGTTTCGTGGAATCCGGCAGGACGATCCGCGAGTACTTGAAATGGAACCTCTTTACGGCTCTACCGAAATCCTACGTCCAAGAGGACCCCCTCAAGATCCGGTTCAATTTCCTGAAATCCGGCGACGAATTCAACTTTATTCACTTCAACGATTCCATCGGCAATATCATAAACTCTTTAGACGGCGAGGATTCCTACACCATGCTGCAATTCTGCGCCCGCAAGGGATTCTTGGAGTACCTTCAACATGACTCCTACAAGACCATGACGCTTTTTAACTACGATATTCTGGATAATCCCATGTTGAGCGTGTTCAAAGAGAAAGGACTTGCAAAGTAGGATATCTTCTTATGTACCAACCTCCTCTATTATTTTTTAATCTATTCCAGATGCGTTAATTATTTACTCGACAACGGCGCCGACGTGTTCAAAACAACAAGAAAATTCAACGAAACTGTATTGGAATTCTGCTCAATAAGAGGCTACTATCCCTTTGTTGCGATTCTTCTTCAACACAAGCACAGTAAATACACCTTCGACGACATTTTCACCATCTTATCGAAGATAGCAAAACGGGAACTCAAGAGTCAAGAAGAAGCACAGGTAGAAGCACAGCAGGAGTCACCGAAGCACAGCAAGTTCTACAGGAATTGCGTGCTGCATTTGTTGCTGAACAAACTGATACGGTTGTACAGCTTGGAGGGCATCTGCGAGAAATCCGAAGCGCTGACGGGCAAGAAGAGGAGAGCTCTGAACGAGATCCTGAGCGTTATGAACTTGGAAAACGAGGAAAGGAACGTCGAGGACGCGGAAATCATCCAGCAGGTGTTGGAGTTGGGCGCCGGGTTGTCTTACAAACAGGCGAAAACCGATAAAATGATGGTGGAACGGCTGGATTATTCGTTGTTGCGGTCGCATTTCGACAGTTGCATCGACGGTAACAATTTCAAATACGACACGTTGATCAGGGACGATGGGGAAGTTTATAACGAGAATAGGGTGCTGAATTATCTGGTGCACGACAAGCAGAAGCAGCAGTTGCTGACGCACCCGCTGTTGATGCTGTTCATTCGAAAGAAGTGGGATAAGATTTACAAAATATTTTACACGAATCTGATCTTCTACACGTGCCTGCTGATAGCGATTTACGCTTTTACCGTTTGCAAATATTTTATGGAAAGTGATTCGGTTTTGTTCGTTTCCTACTGTCTATTACTGGCGTTCCATGTGATTAAGGAAATCGTGCAATTGCTGGTTTTGTACAGGTGGAGGTACATTTTGGAAACTTCGAATATTTTGGAGTCATTCATGATCGGTTTCTGTTTAAGTAATTTATTGTGGCCTAATATGTATTCGGCCGTGGGTAGTATTCTATTTTCGACATTCATATTTTTCATTTTGTTAGGCCAATTACCGGTTTTCACTAAGTACACGGTAATCTTCAGTTCTATTAAATATTTCTTTCAATACATGGCCTTCTACTCGGTGCAATTCGTGGCCTTTTCGATTTGTTTTTATCTAATTTTCCCGTTTAAGAACGACATGAATCGCACGGCTCCGAATTGGGGGGACGTAGTTAAAAATTTATTTTACACTTTAATTTACTTTACTGGAGAATTCAGCGACAGGGTTTTAGAACCCACAGATTACCCCGTATTCGGTAGAATAATCACCACTGTATTCATCTTCTGCATGACAATAATATTAAATAATCTACTAGTAGGTCTAATTGTGGCCGATATGGACGATATACAGAAGAGCGCCAAGCTCTACAAGCAAATCAAACTGGCCAGTTTCATTAAAAACACCAACATGATCATCAAACGAATCCACAATTTCAAGTACATAAACTGCGTGAAAAGGTTCATCAGATACTACGACGTGTTCACTAAAGGCAAAAAGAAGGTAATCAAGAACGTCAACATCCACAGATTCGACGAGGAAACGCGAAAATACCTGAAGGAAATTAGGAAAAATCGCGTATTCAACGAGCACGCGCTCAAGGAGGTTTATGCTGAAATATTTAAAGACAAGGAATAATAATTTTCCGTACTAATTTGTTTTATTTTATTACCTGCAGTGCTAAAAGTGTGTAGCAGTGTGTAGCGTGTCAATTGCCATTTCCCTGCGCAAATTAAATCGATCGATTTGAAAACCAATGAAAAATCTGACGTTTTGAAATATAAACGCGAATTTGTAACATTCCACGATTTCGACAGGGGGAATTTCCAATAAATATATATCCAGCGATATTCGAAAAGATCATATCGCTGTTCGTATCTACCTAACAACAACAAACTGCAATATAAAGTTCGAAATTACATATATATCAGTTTCTCTTTCCTTGTCTCCCGTTCTAATATTACAATTACAGCGGTGGAGCAGAAAACAAACTCTCGTTATTTCGAATATCCAATAACCGAGTAGGCCGAGCGACGACAATTGACGTTTGACAAACGACAATTATCCTCTGGGGATTACACAACGCAATTGACACAGAAAAATCTTTAAGTATCATCGACTTGTGATAATATTTCTGATCTACGCCAATGATTTATATTCTGTAACCGAATCCGCACGCAGAGAGATCTCCACCGAGCTCTCGTAACTGCAACTAGGAAGTAAACCGACGTCTAACAAGAGCACTTCGTTTCGCCGCAGAAACGGTGCACCCAGATGTATGTTGCTGTTCCTTTAAAATTTTCCAACGGATTAAACTCTCGAAATGCATACCATAACCGGAAAAGGATAAGTAGTAAAAGAGGGATTTCGCATCGACGAGTAGATTTGAACGAATTATTTTTGCCGTTTTCTTCTAATTTATGTAGAGCATGGAAGAGTTGCCAAGATTCAAATTTCTAGCTAAATAATTGGAGGATTATTCTAGTAAAATTATGTTGTTTTTATGCTTGCTTGTAATACTATGGGCAATGAAATGGGCCTTGTTATATAAAAAAGAATTTGATTCCTTTTGTGATGCTTCGATGTTAGGAATTCCAAATCTCTATATTTATATGGAAAAATATGTTTGTGACAATTCGTCGATAATTTGAGCGAAATCGGAAAATTCGTCACCGTCCCGAAAATTACCGACATATTTCTTTTTATTTCGCAAGCCGAAACAAAGAACGCAATAAAGCGAAGCGAAAGAATGAAGTTCGTTAGGGAATATTTGATTTCGCGTTTTTATTCGCCGACAACGAATGGTGTCACTGTGTGCTCTCTACACAGACATAAAGGATTCCTGTATTCGACAAAGGATCAAAAGGACAATTGGCCCCCTTCGCTCTCGCTTCCCTCGGCGCTCTTCCACCCGACACTAAGTTAGGAATGCCTTTGCAATTACGCTTCAAAAAGAAACATTAGACATTCGGTTAAGCTGCTGCAAAGAAAAATTTTTCCTCGTTTGGTGTGGCTTTTTTTCCAGACTCGTCCCGAAATGCAATCTAATCGCACTTTGTGCCAAAACCGACCTGATATGGATGCGAATTTTAAATGACAAACAGATAAAATAAAATACCGCAATCCTGATGGCATAAAAGAAGCACCATTTGTTGCGTGAAATAAATCTAATTGTAGAGCATCCATTAGCTATATTATAATTATTATAATTCGATTTTTTTACTTACATATCTGAACATTTCGTTAATTAATTTCGTTAACTAATTAATTAATTAATTAGCAGGTGCTTGATCTATAACGAACGACTGTCGTTCGGGTTGAATTCGTCCTGATTTGTCGCGGATAATATCGAATCCATTCGCTGCATTCTCGCCCCTCGGGTGGTAAACAACCACTGAACACATCAATTAATGTAATTAACTAATAGGAATGGCAACGTCGCTCCGACCGGTGTCAATTGTTTGCATTGTTGCCCTTCGGCCATTCTCCAATTTGCCGCATATCGAATAATCCATCTTGGTTCGATTGATCAACCGAAAATGCCGTCCACAGGGATGATGGTTCTATGATCATTTACTACTTAGCCCTACGTAATTACAATCTCAGATTATGTTGTTTATGCTCTGCGTCGGTACGCGCAGCGTGGTGATGCAGTGTAGTGCACCAGGCGAATTATTTTCGAAATACAAATGCAGAACTGATTCTGGTTGGGGCTCGTTAACATTTGGAGCGTCCGGCGCGCCCCGTACGGGAGAACATCTGTTTCGGAATCGCCCTAATTAGAGGGCAGGTCGCGCTCGTTTATAATGTTTCATAATTGAGGTGGAAGCGACCGGAGGTTTCTTGCGGCCGAAATAATACAATCGTGTATACTAAACGGTGGAAATTATATAGTTTTAAAATTGTTTAGGGGAATTCACGAACTCCTGGTGCACCTTGTTAGGCAGTGATTTATAATTTGCGCGAGTCAGGTCTGGATCGAAATTTTCTTATCGCGGAATTTTGCGTATTAAGTGAGGGCTCGAAGGACGAAAAACGTACGCTCAATTTCGGGTTTTATCGTTGAAGAGATAGGGAATACAGCGGGTGATTGCGGCGGTGTCCTCCTCTCGGGGGAGAAAGAAAACAATGTTTTATCTGATCCTTATTCCGGGATTTATGGTATTAGTAATAAAACCGGGGGAATATTAGGGATGATATTTCGCCTTGTTTTCGAGGTTGTATACGCACACCAGGAGATATAAATAATTTTATCGGTTGTCGGGGAAGGGAAAGTTTTACGCCCTATTACTGCAACTAATAATTCTAGTAATTCCGGTTTGATTGATCTACTGAAATCCGGAGAAAATTGTAAGTGCTGTGTAGCGTTCTCGTGTAGTGCCCCAGCAAAATGTTGGACATACATTAATTGGTAGAAAATCCAAAGTTTTTTTATTGCGAAATAGGGAATCGGAATAAGAGGAAACGGAACCTTAAACCGGAAATTGAATCGTCGATCTGGAGAGTTTGTGCAAATAATTCCGGGCTAGTAAGTAGTGGAAAAGGTGGTTTTCTTGATATTTGTTCAACCCTCTTTTCGTCTATTCTCCGATCCAGGAAACGTTCCTTTTATAAGGAACGTTTTCACCTAGAAATTTTTAATGGAAAGCAAATTTTCCTTCATCGGATTTCATGCGAACTTTAACTACGAGTAGTGTTTTTATGTAGTTGTTGCGATAAAATAAATTCAAAATTTAAACTCTTTAGCGATATTTCCGGTAGATATACATTCGAATTAGACGCGATTTTCCTGAAAAAAAAGCAACAAGACCCCACCGGCGTTTTTTTTCCACCATTAGCTTTCATAATTTCATACATATCTCAAACCAGATTTAAAAAACTCTTTTAATTATCTTTTATGTAGGTATAATACAGCGAGGATATAAAGTTTCCGGATAAGTTTTCCAATTTAATTAAAATATATTATGCGCTTCATTTATTTACCCGGAAAAATACACACTGGCTTTAGGCCTGAAGGCTCGAATAAATTTGCCTATAAACGGCGTTTATTCAGATACCTGGTGAGTCATGTTATTATTTCATTCAGACATTGTTGTTGGATTTCCAACTGCATAAATAATGTTCAAGTGCAGCCAAGTATTTCGTTCGGAATAAATTAATCAGCACGAGAGATGTTTAAAGCGAAAATGTAGGTTAATAAAACAATCCGTAAAAGTACGAATTACGTAATAATATAAAACAATAAAGCATTGTTCGCTCGTACAAGCTTTGTTTTACTCCTTTCTTCGGGTCGTTTCTTTGTCCTGCGTCGCAATCGATTTATCCCGCGACGTTGTCAATGGATTTCTAATCGAATGAAAGACAATAAACGGCATTAGATTCGAATGCGAGTTCCGTTCCGAAGGCTTACCGGCCTTAAGTCTTACGTCTTACTTCTTAGCTTGTCCCGTCTTAACGTCGATCTGACATCGACGGACGTTTCTATACGGTTTTTGTTCATTGTATGTAGACGTACTGTTCCTTTGGCTCTAATGGATTATTTGTTTCAATTAGGTTAACAATCCTCTGATTTATACATTTCTTTAGAATCCTTCGAATTCATAATACTTTAGTACCGAATGGGCGAGTACCAGACTGATAAATTAATTTAATTAATGGAAGTCGGTGAATGCAAGATGAGCAAACTAACAAACTGATTAAAATGTGAGTGCCCGAAATCAAAAGTAGGTATCCAAATAGATCGGATTTTCCGTAATCAGCGGAAACAAATACATTAAGTTGATTGAACGCCCGAATAAACCGTCAATAAACTTCAAAGCGCGCGCGAATAATTAATTAGAAATTTTTGTTAATCAAAGAAATGGTAGATACGTAGACAGAGAGGAATCGGCTCGGAGCTCTTCGAAATAATGAATTCGATAGTCGCCTTGTTTACAATATTACACAATCGCAACGAAGGCATCGTTCCTGCCTATTAATGACGTTATTAGGTCGACCTGAACCTCTGGTCCATTGTTCCGGATTCCGCCAAGACCCGGCGAGAACAAGCGACCGGAATCACAAACGCGGAACACGGAACACGAAGAAATTCATGCGCCGGTTGGTGCATAGAGAATCCACTAAGCAGGTATTAATTTCGCTATATAATTCTAGAAGAGATGTTAAAGAAGTAATCGATTGCATCAGAAATCGGTTCGAATTGATACTCACTAATAATGTTACTATTGGCGCATTGATTGGGGATTTTATTCACCTGAAATTCATCGTTTTAGATGAGGAAAATTATACAGTTTTACTTCTACAAATTTTACAAAATAGTTGGATAATTAATGTTGGTAGTTGGAAGCTGTCGATTGGCGTTTAGCGAGTATGTAAATAAAAGGAAAGTAGGGTGAATGCGAGCGAATATCAACCGCATTATCCATCGTCCTATCAATCAAGCTCGGGCCGGTTGATCACGTCGCGCACCGAAACGTTAATTCGACAAACATGTCCATGGCGAAATCGGCGCTTCCTCCGTTATCTGGCTAATTTCATTAGCCAGACATAATTCGTCTCTATTTGAAAGAGAAGGCTTTCTGTTGTTCCAGCCCCGCCGCCGCCGCCGCTCCCGATTTGACCCATATCAAGACAACATCCAGTCGACTGTAAACGATTTCGATCAAGTTCTAACGGATGGTACGGAGGAAAGACTGATAGCTTCCAGGCGTCGGCGGGTCAACGA